AGTAACTCCTCTGGAAATTCTCAAAAATGTTCTTTTCACTTCTCCTCTTGAATTATGGATGTTGTATTTCTTCCTTTTTTATATGCTAACATACTATTATATTTCCTTAATACATTTTAATTATAATCAACTTGCAATCAGTTTCATTTAAAGGCATTTTGAGTTTTTAATTTTTCGTAATGAACATAAAATGGAATTAATATAACAAAATTACGAGAATTACTCCGACCTAATTTGAACATAATTAAAATATTGTTATTTATTTAAATATTTGATTGTTAAATCAATGTTCAACATCCCCTCTAAAAAAAATTTTTTTTTGGAAATGCAATATTATTTTTTGAAAACTTTTGATATCTTGACTCACGAGTTCATCCTTAGCTTGAATATTTTCGGTGTTTCCTTTTTATGATTCCACTTTTGGCTGGCCTTTTCTTTATTTGCTTAGTGTGTGCCTTTGGGATGGGAGCAGCACATTTGGGGAAAGGGATGTCGGAGGCTATTCGACCCACCATCTTTCCCCATACCATTTCCATCTGATGCCCTTTGTGTACTGGGCAAAGTTAAAAACGGCGCTAATTTTATGACGGCCCAACTTTGGCACTTGTCAAATAGGAAATTCCATACCCCAAGGAGGTGGAGGCGAGGGTCTCTTGGCCCGAAACTCTCCGCTTTGGCCCAGTGGTTTTTATGCTAATGTGAGTGAGAGTGAGTGCTGCTGGGTGGTTGTGTGGTGCAGATCTTTTGAGGTTTGCAGTGGTCTTTAAGCCAACACGGGGCATCCTTGAGCCGCCCTGCTAACTCCGGCAGTTGGCAGTTGGTGGGACTGACTGACTCGGCTGTTTGTGTGTTAATTACTGCGGCGTGTGCGGCACTCGTGAATCATGACTTCCGACTTGCCAGCCACCCCGCCATTCCGCCATCCCGCTTTCTAATTATGTTGCAGTGGAGTTGGTGGCAAAGGCAAAAGCAACAAAACAAACGGCAAGGCAACAATTCAACCGCAAACGCATTTAGCTCATGTTGCACACACAGCCCGAGAATCCAGTAAATAGTTTACCGAAATCGGCATGAGAGGCCTAGCTACTTGGCGTTTGAGCAGAGATGGGGGTGAGTTTTGGTACATATAAATGTAGGTACATGTTTTTGGTACCCTTATACCATACCTTAATATAAGAAAAGTAAGTAATCTTACCTTAATATTTTCCAAAAATATTTAAATAATTAATTGAATAATTATTGATATTGTATTATAAAACTTATTCTCAGGAATACTGAGGAAACTTTATAATCTTACCTTTACATTTTCCAAAAATATTTTTAAAATATTTAAATAATATTTAATTTATTGATACTCATCCTATTGATACGGATTAGTCCCTTAAAGTTTGAAATTTATTTCCAATCACTTTTAAGTATTGACTTCAAAAGTTCGATAACTTATTCATAGGACATAAAGGCAGTACCTTTCCCATCTCTGGTTGGGGATGGTGGTTTATTCCTGGGTGGTTCGTGGGTAGTATTCCATGTCACTGCAGTGCACACGGCGACCTCATAATAAAGCCATCCTCTGCCGCCTGTTTGTGTGTGTGCGAGTGCTCCAGCATTTCTCAGCTGCCGCATGTGGCAAGTGCGGTAGACCGTCAATTTGTGCAAATGCTTTCAGCTACCTAAGTCAGTTGGCTTCGACCGGGCGAAAGTACCAGCCAGGCGGCTTTATTTGCTCAGCCAAATTTGTCTTAATTCATTTGGATTAACGACGAGCCCGAAGAATGGAGTACTGACACCCGGGAGGGAGTTGGATAATTCATTCACTCAGCCAGATGATCCATCAGATTCGGATTCAGATTGACCCACCGTGACTCAAGAAAAGAACGAGGCGTTTAAAATGTTTATTATTATGCTAGTTTTATTTACCATCTTTGTTTGCCTTCATTATGCTCTCACTTCGGTTTCGGGCAGTTAAATGCAATTCGATAACAATATGTTTGCTAAATATTAATAAATATATCAAATGTCCCGCCTCGCCGGCTGCTGCTGCTGCTGCTCATTTTCATGTATTTACTTTGGTAATATTTTACAAATAAATTGAAATTTATACACATGGCTATGCACGACTATATGTGAGGGGTGTTTAAAAAAATGAATGGGAATCTCAAAGGGTTTCCGGGCAACGGCCGAACTTAATCAATTAAAATAAAAGTGTCAGTGAATAAAAATACATACAGTTTTTTCGTATTCAAATTTGATTTCAACTTACGGCTATGCTTTTTAATACTAATTTTTTTTTGATCTCTTTAATATTGTAGTCATGTTGCCGTGGGCAAAATTCGCTTGAATTGCCTATGCTTTTTGTGGCGGTGTCAATTGAGTTTTTATTCGGGTCTGGCTTTTTCTCTGTCTCTGGGATTTATTATCTGATTTGATTCGCAGTTCTTCCTGGCAACACATTTCTAGTTGTCCGCTCGCATACGTATTTGTAGATATATATAAACACTTATTTGCTTAGACAGTTTACCATTTATATTTATAGGTATTTACTCTTGCACTTGCACATACATATATCTCGGTAGTTTTATTTGAATTTTCTGTTTACTATTGATATTAAATTTATTTATGCACTTTAGCGGCTTTGTTTGATTTTAGTTTTGATTTCGTCATACGTAGATTAAATAACTAAAATTGAGTTTAAATGCAATTCACCTGCAACAGTTGTTGTTTGAGATCTCCCAGCCTGGCTTATAAAACATTTAGGCATTCAGCAATACCATAAACCAAAAACCATAAAGGATGGGAAGTGTAAACCAAAGTTTTAAATGGTTTTAAAAATAAACATGCTAATCAATTTTATGCACACACAAATCTGAGCTAACAACGATAAATTCATAAATATTTTACAATAGTTTTTAATATTTTTTTAAAATTTAATTCTTTATGCTCAACTTGTTATGTTAGTTTGGATAATCTTAGTACCATTTTGAATGCCGTTTGATATGACTTGATCATTGTTATGGTATTTCGCTTCTTCTCTTATTGTTTTAGTGTTCAACTTTAGCCCAGTAACGTGGCATTTCGCTTGTTTTATGTACAATAAAGAACGTGACCCATGTCAATGCAAACTATACTAAATATGCTAAAATTTAACTACAGTTAGAGTACGTTTTTTCCATGTTTTTACAGTTAATAATTACAGCTACATCCTGTTTGCTTTGTCCAAATTCAATGCGGAAGTATGCGACTCTTGTTGTTGCTTGATTTGCCTCACAATTCAAACGTTATATCTAGCCTATCCTAATAGTTAGTAGCTACTCACTGGGGGCATTCAACGTTTAGTAAAAAAGCTAAATAAATAAATCTCGGTCCTAACAAAAATGGATTAATAATGGCAAAACGTAATAATCTGTGAAAATTCTTCCCACTTTTAGCAGCTCAGAAATCAAAACAATTTCAATTAAAATAAATTTAATTAAATTTCTGCTTTTTAGCCACTCGTCTCATTTTTTCAGTTGTTTGTTTTGCATTCACGAGCATCACTATGAGTAAAACTATTTTCTTTATTTAGCGCTAATTAATTTATTACAATATTTGTGTTGGGCCCCCGCCTGACACTCGCTTTGTATTCATTAGCGTTTTTTAGCCAGTATTTTCTGTAATTTAATTATAAACAAATATGCGACAACAAATCCGCAATGATAATTGAGGAGGAAATGAAAAAAAACCGAATGTAATATCCCGCTATGAACACTTATCCCATGTTTTGTGCGTGTTTTCACAATTTTCTCTTTAGCTATTGAGTTGCGGCGCATTTGTTGTTTATTAAAAATATTAATCAGTCATTTGAATGCAATGAATTGCAGTGTTTATATATGTGTATATGTAAGTATGCAGCTGGCCGCGTATTTATGTGTGTGTTTATGGTTATTTCGTGTTTCGCATGTTGTCCTTTCCGCCTCATGTAAGTTGTCATTCGCTTGTTTGTCCCCTCACCACTCATTATAATCATCATCCCACCTGCCGGCATCTCATCCGATCCGATCCTCGGCACAGCTCAGCTGACTGTTTACAGCAATGCAATAATTTATACCATTCATTTGCATTGCATCGCTGACAGGCTAAAAAAAATTTGCCAACTGATTGCGCAGCGCAATTATTTGAATGCGGCCGCATAAATAAAGCTGCATACTTTGTTGCATCGCTCGGCGTCGAGATTTATTGTTAAAATTCCTCTGCGCACTTATTGCAAATTAATAACCATAAATTTGGCATGCAATCGCTCCAAAAGTGGGCTATGCATTTTTCAACGCATTCTCATGTTTTCACTTTTGCAAATGGTTAAATTTTCAATTTGCTTTCACTTTTTAAATGGCACAAGAATTTTTCGGTTTTAAAATGTATTTAAATGTGAGTTATGGGAAGTATTTAAGATTTTCTACATTTTATGCATTCCTTTCTAGATCATAAGATACAATTTTTAAAATATAACAAATGCTTTAAATTTGTAACACATTTATTTAAAAAAATTAATTAAAAAAAACATGTTATGATTTTATATTTAATTTGAAAATTTTTTAGCAAAATATTTTAAGAAAATGGCGAAATATCTCAGACTCTTGCAAGGACTCCTCAAAGTATGCAGCTTTTATTGAGCCCCTGTCCTGTTTTCCGACTGCGTGTGGCTGTCCATTATTTGGCTTTTCGACTGGCACTTACGACTAGGTGTCCTTATAGCTAGCTTATTCCATCCCATCCGAGCACTTACTTGCCATACGGATGCTGGTTGATGTCCGGCGAGTGGCGCATCAGGGTGGCACTCCCGCTGCCCGGCGACAGGGTGAGGCTGCCCTCGTGGCTGCCGTTCATGCTGCTCGAGCAGGTGGCCGGAACGGAGACGGTGACGGTGCCGCCGTGACCAGCGTGGCCGCCGTGACCGCCGCCCATCATCTTCTCCGTCTCCTGGCGACTGTTGGCCATTATGCGGCGGATCGTGGGGGCGCAGGGAGTGCGTCAGAGGCGCGACTCCTGCGCGTGCTCATGTCAGACCTGCCCGTGGGCGTTCATGTGCAGGGCGTCCCCGGCGTCGGGGGGCGTGGCCGAGAGCTGGGCGGGCGGATAGTACTGCAACGAGGCGCAATTCAGATACTGTGCGTGGATTAGAATCGATACATGGTTGGACATCGCAAGTGCGTTATAAATAGGACGAAATTCTACCACTCTGCAATCAGGAATTGTTAACAGCACTCAGAAAAATATTCCCTACATTTAAATTTAATGTTTTGGTATTTGATTAAAAAATTTAGCTGGTTTGGATACTAGTTAAATATACCATAGAAATATTTTATGTTTTTATTAAATAAAAGAACATTATAGTAAGCATTTTAGACACATTTTAAAAACGTTGGATTCTAAAACCACATTCTTAAAGTCATTAAAAAAAAATTTTGTCCAGCGCAAAAATAAAATACAAGTATCTAACTCGTAAAATATTTTTGTAAATTAACTATAACTATAACTATGTTTTGGGTCTCTTTTTAAAGGAATTAATCATTGAATTAAATGCGTAATTACCAAGTAATAGTGTGCAAGCTCACTTAAAATTATTTTTTTATATTACAAAATATACATTGCTATTTTTCTGTAAGTGCAACTTACCCCGACGCGTCCATTGTCATAGTCGCGACTCGCTTGAATGGTCAATTTAGCCTTGGCGTGCATGGTGTCCGTCAGCGTGCTCCTTTGATGTGAGGACGGCATGACGCCGGGCACGGCGCTCGAGGGACCCAGCATCATGGAGCCATTGGCCTTGCCCAGGCTGCCGCCGCCCACGCCGCCCAGTCCCATGCCCATGCCCATGCCCATTCCCATGCCGGAGCCACCGGACGCGGAGCGCGAGTCCTTGCTGCGGAAGCAGTACTCCAGGATGGCCACGAACACGCTGACAAGCAGGCCGCCAATCAGTATGTAGAATATCCCGGCCACGTTGCTCAGCGATAGCTCGCTGTGCGAGGCCTCGCCGTCCTTGTGGGCATTGCACTCCGCCTTTTCGTACCACCATTTGTTGCGCAACTTGATCAGCTCGCCGTTCTCCTTCAGCGTCAGCACGGCCAGATTGATAGGGTCCCTGTTGAATGGGGAGTGGGTGGAGTGGAGGAGAGAGTAGAGGTGCCTTTGTTAAGTATGTGGGTTAGCTTTCATCTCTGGTCCACAACTCAGCAGCTCCTCACCCTAAAAGGCATCAATTTCTGACTCCCCAATGGCACCCAGATTCCGGGTCTACACTCAAATTTATAATTTAGAATTCAGACTTTAAAAAAATGACAAAATAATAATTCCCAAATAAATCAATGTAAAAGGATCTGGATCAGTGTTGCCAGTCGTCCACATAAAAATAGGAAACACTTCCGCAAAAAATTCGAGAGAAAGGGACAATAACAGGCGAACATTTCTGTATATTTAATTTGATTGCTACTGAAGTAAAAAATAATTTGGATATTCACTAACAAAGATTTTCATATTTGTTCACTTTTTTAATTTTGTATTTTAAATCCAATCGTCGACTCTGATGAAAAATGATTTGGATAAATAAAAGCTCTTATTTTACACACAAAGTTTAATTTTTTCAGAGTGTGGCGAGTATAAGGGATTGCTGTTAAATTTGATTTTTTTAATAGTTTAACCGTTTCTGATAAAAGGTTGAAATGAAAAGGCTGAAAATGGCATTAAATTGATTTTCACTAATAAAAATGGGATTTCAAATAAGATTAAAATTGTAATTTGTATTTGTCCACTCATTCTTTTTAGTTGCAAAACAAATTATTAACTTTTCTGGAAATCGGTAAGGATGTTTAAAAGTTTACAATTCATAGACAAAATCAGATTTTTCAGAATTATGTCGAATGGCTGTTAAATTGGAAATTGACTTCTAAGCTCCTTTTATTTTTAGCTTTTACACTTATTTTTAAAATAAATACAGATGTCTGCATAGGGGATGTATGGATTTTTCCCGCAAAGTTATTTTGAAAACTGATCCAAAAAGAAATATTTAATATTTTGCTTGACTCTAGCTTGAAGGAACTCCAAATGCTCGGACTAAGATTCTTAATTTTTGCGCAGTGTACTCACTTGAGCGCCGAACCGAGCGGCGTGGCGATGCCAAATCCCTTTGTATCCAGATTGCGGCCCACTTTCATTGTGTCGCAGGGCTCGCGGGCGTTCACATACTCGTTTTTGGGCGACTCCACCAGCAGGGCGTACTTGCCCTTGGAGTTGCGCACGCGTTTGATCCCCTCGTCGTAGGTGGGCACGAAGACGTGCTTCCGCGAGTTCATGTACTCCCACATCTTGTTGTGGAGTCCGATTTGGGAGCGCTGCGGGCACAAAAGGCGAGCGAAAATATTAAGTAAGGACTAAGGAATACGAAATACGCGGATCTGAGGCGTATACGCCATGGCATCCTGGGACAGTCGGATGCAGGCGGATAGGGACACCCGCTTCACCCAGACATCCATCAACATAATGCCGAGGTCCTGGTCCTAGTCGCCCCACAACGACTGTCGGGTGATATATATATATATACCCGAATATATAGAAATATCTGCTCACATGGCGAGGCAGCCGAGCGTAAGTGTGCTTAAAAGCATCTCAAATAAATGTAGCCATAAAAAATAGAATTGCGTCCCATTTCTTTTGCATTTTTGGCCCGATTGACGGCCGGAGAAATGGAATGTGGATTGCTGAATGCTACTGAATGCTAAGGGAATGGAGGGAATGGAAGGGAGGTCTGAGTGGAACGGGCGGCAAATTGCTTTTTATTCCTCGTCTAACACAAATTAATCCTTGGCCCGGCTGGGACCCTCTCAATTTTGACGTCTCAAAAGGCTCAGCTCGCAAATTCTAATGGTTTTCTAGCTCTTGACTGTTGGCTTTTATTGTCTTTGATTTGCCCATTGTGCGGTTGTCAAATGAGTGTGACATGAGCACCCGAAATTAATTTGGCTGCTAGGCAATCGGCAATGTCGCAATTGTCTGGGGAGCCAGGCGAACAGGAAGGTAGGTACATACGTACATATGTACAAGGTATGCAGAGGGAAAAATTATCCCAAAATTGGGTCAAAAAATGAATAAAATTGCTTTAAAAAAATATTTGCAGTTGAATAGATTTTTGTAATCCCTTTCCTATTATTTCTGACGACTTTCTGCAATTGTGGATCTTTTATTTTGAAGTATTTAAAAATAAATTGGTAAGATATCTTAAATAATTATATTAAACCGCTTAAATTTTTATTTTAAAATGAGCATTCAATATCGAATCCGAACGATTTTTCAATCAATAAATTTGACCAATTAATTTCCCCCAGTGCAGTGCAGTACCTGTAAATTTTCTACTCACCCGGAAGAAGTCCCATGTGGAGCCGTGCAGCAGAGTGCCGTACTGCACCTCCGTCTGCATGGCCAGGTCCTCCGGCGAATTGATCGGCGTGACCATGCGCTCCACGGTGAGGAAGGCGGCCAGGTTGGCCGTGTACGAGGAGATGAGTATCAGGGTGAAGAAGAACCACGAGGCGGCTGCAATTCGTCCGGACACGGACCTCGGCGACAGATCGCATCCCTGCTGCATGAAGGCGGCCAGCGAGAACCAGAAGGAGTTCCACACGCTGAACTCGTTCACGGCCGTCGAGGCGGAGCCTCCGCTTCCGGGACTTCCGGCGGAGAGGGCGGCCTGCAGGGCGGCGGCCCCGGCTGCCGTCTGGGCGCCCGGAGTGGGTGGTCCGGGCGGAGCGGGCAGGGGGGCGCCGCCAATAATGCCGGGCGGCTGCTGATTGGCAAGCTGTTCGTGATGTGCATGCGGATCTGAAAGGGCGAGCAGGCGGAAAAGGGGGCGGGCCAGGAGCCCTGTGAGTTGGCCGCAAAACAAAACCGCAGACGGCAAACGCAGTCTGCCAGTGCACGGTAAAAAAAGGTGTCTTATTTTTAGACTCATTTTTTAATTTAAATAATTGTCTTTTAAATCCTATTACTAACTAAAATTTACACCTGAAATTTCCTGATTAAAATCCCTGAAAAATTATAAATTCCCAACTGAAATCCCCTTTCTTCTCTCAGTGTGAATGCGAGTCGAATGGGGAGTGAGCTCCTTGTACGTGCCCATGTCGACTGTCCAAGTTTCAATCATTTCGTTTGGCTTGGCTTTTTGCGCCTGCTCTAATTGATATGCAATCAAACCCATAGCCAAGTCTCTGTTCCCCATTTGCTTCAATTGCAAAGCCATTGACTGCCAGGCGGAGATGTGATGACATTGCCGCTCCTCCGGCAAATTCAGCTTGTGATGCTGATGTGGATGTGGCTGTGGATGTCCTGATGTGGATGCTGATTCTCTAGTGCCAGCATGGCGTGTCCTTCGTGCTCCTGCATCTCTGCCAGGTTTTATTTTGCACTCGCCTTTGTCCCGCTCTTTTCACTGGGTCTCTGTTTATCTATCTCCGTTTTTACACTGTCTGTAAACGCTGCCTGCATACAAAATGTTGTTTACTTTCCGCTAAAATTACATTAAGGATGTTTTGCAGGATGTCAATAGATTGTTATGAACAGCCACTCCACATCGCCGGTTCTGAATTCCTCTCTCTCTGTCGCTCTGACTACTAACTAACTGCCAGTTCATATGTGTCTCTCGCTCCGATTGTCAACAGAATTCCTACAAAAACAGCAGCACCAGTGGGAAACTCAAATTGAATTGAAATAATTGAATTTCCATGAAATCAAATGAAATCGAATGCAAAACAAGTCAAAAGTTGTAGCAGATGCATACAATTACGAGATTTTGGGACTTCCGCCTGGCATCCGCTTTTTTGGCTAACGCAGATACATATCTCGTTAGGCTGCACTCGAAGAAATAGTGTACTTTAATAGAATATAATATAACTTTCGCATTTAAAGCACACATCAATAACTAATTTTAAGATTAAGTAAAAATTATGTCATTTATAAATTTAATTTCGGTTGTTAAAGTTATATGTCCAAAAATGTATAGTGCAATTCTCTTTAATAAAATAAAGAGTAATTTAAGTATATTATAGTAAGAGAAACTTCAGGATATAAGTATAAGGCTTATTTTCGTATATCTTTTTAGGACATATCATAGAAATAACTGAACATATGTATAGTGCATAATACTTATAAATACATTTTGAATAAAAATATAAATGAATTAAGTCTCAATCCAGTTTTCCCTTTCTAAAACAAGACAATGGGGTGTGTCTTAAGAAAATGCTAATTTCCCAGAGCATTCACTTAAAGGATCTCCCCACATTAAGACATTGTTGTTCCTATTTCAGCGTGAACTTTTCGTAAGCGCGCAATTTAATTCAATATTCAAATAACCCAGCTGCTGGCGGGAACAGGTGTGTGGGTACAGGCACAAGTACAGGTGGCACTTACCTGGCGACTGTGATTGCTGCGGCTGTTGCACGAGGCGCCATTCATGTGGCGAGAAGCGCGACACAAAGAACAGCACGATGCTCACGCCGATGTAACTGAAGATGACGCTCACCTGTTGGCAGGTGAAAGCAGAAAGAGAAAGAAAAAGAAAGTTGTAGGTATGGTAGGTAAACATGAGACACTCGTGACGTGGAACATGGAGAGATGGCCTGGCACCTGTGCAAGCAGCCACTGCGAATTTGCCGGCTGCTGCTGCTGCTACTGCTTTTTTTCATTAAATTTTCTTAACTAATTGAAGCGGAAGCGGCCGGGGCTTCCTAGAAAATAACGGAACATTAACCTAATGGAGCGACGGTGAGGGGAGCGCGGGTTCGCAGGAGCAAGACAATGGCAGCCAAGGACATCGACAGGAGCAGAAACTCTGCTGGCGGCTGTCTGGCAACAGTTGCTACTGCGCCTACACAGAGGAAAATTTGTTTTAATTTAATGAAAATATTTATGCCTGTTGAAGCAAATTATTTAAAATTTAAAATCTTATTAATTCTAATGCATATCTTTTTTATGAAATTAAATAAAAACTTTTAGAAGCCAGATTAGCATATTAGATGTTAAATCATCAGTAATTTTAATAAATTAGTGTATAAAAATATTTGAAACCCTAAAAAAAGGCGTCTTTGTTTATCATTAAAGTCCAGTGGTTCTGGGTATCTTAACTTTTTCTTGAGAAACTTAAGACTGGAACTGAGTTATGTCAGCCTTGTTTAGTTACTCTATTTCTTAGCACCCGTTTTTTCTCCCACTGTAAGGCCTCCCAGTGTTTGTGTGTGTGTCGGAGCTGTCAGCACCTGAATGGCTGCCATGGAAAGCGCCTTTGTGCGGAAGGAAAGGTGTGTCCTTGTCGTTTGTCGCCGCCGCTTTCATATGCCTGAATGGCTTCGCCACACACACTCTCACACTCGCCTAAGTAGGATTGTGCCGCTTGTGTTGTTGCTTTTCAAATTGCGAGTGTGCCAGTGTGTGTGCAGCTAAAATGCTTCATTTAATTTATGATAAATTTTTTGTAAAAGACTTTTTTATTAGCTTGTTAACTTTGCGCCTTGGCTTTTGCCGTTCGCCTTTCGCCTTTCCTGGGATCCCTTTCCTCATCCTTAGAGCCCAGTTATACGCAACCCAACCCCTGGAAACTAATTTGCATTTGTAATTTTTTAGCTCATGTCAAATTACGCATTAGCTTTCACTTTGGCGCGCTGTTTCGCCGGCTTTTATTAGCATTTAATTTTGCGTTTGTCGCGCGCTGTCAACACTCTTTGACTTTCGAGATTCGGATTTGGGCTGTGCCCCTTTTTTATGAATTTTTTATTGGGCGTAAATTTAACAGCCTCCGTCGTCATAATTTTGCGCATTTACTGAGCATTAGTACGCATACCCATATAATTGGTTTAATTGTCTACCCAGTTAGCCCATCCCCCAATTTTCGGGAGTAGTTGAAGCACCCTGGTGCAACATAAACATCAACTAAACGCTCATACAAATTTGATGGCTTGCCATTATTTAAACAAGCCTCGAGCGCCAAACTTCGGACCAGCGACTAGCGTTAAATTTAAAACTTGACGGCCACGTAATTTCGGGAAAACTCTCCATGTTGCCGGGCTGCTGTGTTTATGCGAGTAATGTTAAAAAAGGCAAACAGTGGCAAAAGCACAAAAAACTTTGTCGTTTACTCTATTAAACTTTGGGAGCTTACGTGGTGCCAAGTTGAAGCCGAAACCAGAAGAAATAAATATACAAGTCGAAACTTTGCCGCAAACTTTTGCCCGAACAGCAGCAGCCTTCGCATCGAGAAACGTTTCGAGGGGGGGCGAAAAAAATAATGAAAATAGGGGAAAAAAATTGGCAAGCGTAAAAATTACCAGGCAAAACAGAAACGGCGGCGAAACAGAAACAGAAATGAAGAAATTGTTTAAAAACTTTACCCATTTGTATGCAGCGCAATTTTTGCAACATTTTGACTCGTTACCAAAGTGAAAATAAACACATTGCGCTGTGTGTTTAGACGGCCGAGAGTCTAAGACGGTTTTTGGGACGGGAAATAATTAGAAATTTTGGAGGCAGTGTCAAGTGCCAGCTGGCAATATCAATAGTCGCGGCCAGGACTTGATTAAAATGTTTACAGGACCTGGACAATCTCTCGCTTTCAGCCGGGAAAGCCAAAGGGAAAATCCTCAGCATCTCGAGTTGCATCGCTCCGCTGAGCGCCAATGAAGCAAAGTGCACGCAGCCAAAAGGAAAGGGGGATAGGGAAATGGGAAATGGGTAACGGGGACTGGGAAACTGGTGAAACTCGAGGAACTCGGGAAGCTCCTCCCAGCATATACGCACCCAAATTTCCTGCGATAAAGGATTCATGAAGCTGAACACGCCGGGCGTCTGCTTCACTGGCTTCTTAATCATGATGGAGATGCCCAGCGACATGAACGGCTTGCTAAAGTCGATGACACGTTCGCGTTCGGCGGTAATCGTCATGGCGGCAATCGCAATATCCGCTTCCTGCAACCGAACGAGTTCATTTGCCGGGGGCTATAAAGGGGTAAAGGGAAAGGAGGAACTCGACTCACCTTGCGCACCAGCTCCCCCACCATTCCATCCCAGCCACCATGGGCGCTGGATTTCTCCGAGCCGTAATTGCCATCCTTGACCAGGCGCAGCTGATCTGCAATTGACACAAAGAGAAAAAGGGGGAATAAGTTAATATTGAATCTTATAGAAAAACATTTTAAGAAGTTCTTAGAAAGTATTCAATTTTAAAATAAATATTTTAGTCTGAGTTATAAGCAATATTTTGCTTATTGAGAACTTCAAATAATTTAACTTTTGTGATGATGATTTTATTTCAAAATCAAAAAACTAAAATAAATACACTTTTAGTAAAAATTAAAAATATAATTTATTATATTTTTAAGATATTAGGTATGCAATATATTTCTTAAGAACAGTTAAATGTAAATATAAATACAAGTTCTGTCAGTTCTATGGTTTACATTTCTTTTTTTTTGTGCACATACCATTCAAATAGTAAATCAAAAGTTAACCTAGAATTTTCGCTTAGTGCATTGAATCGGATATCGTGAGCGGGGAATTCACACGGCCGATTAAGCAGGGCATCGCGCATTCACTTACAGTTAATGCCCAGTTCCTTGGCCAGCAGATCGGCCAGGTCCTTGCAGTATCCCTCGAAGCGGTCATTGCCGTGCAGCTTCTCGGCGAAAGCCGCCTGCTTCAGCATGATATAGGGCTCCTCCAGGACAGTGGTCACTATGTAGGTGCGGTTCTTCTCGAACTCCACGTGCGGACGCAATCGGACGTACTTGGCATTTAGGGGCTGCAGCCCGGCATCGTCATTCCACTCGGCCACCTTGACCTGGGTTGTCAGAAAAGAAGAAGTCCCGAAAGATTATAAATTACCGAGCTGGGCAGGCCATAAATAATGCAGACATCGACACCTTGCTCCCCACGAGGGAGCAACTCGAATCGATATTTGCCTAACTTTGAATTATTTTCTATTTCCCAACTAGAACAGACTGGCAAATTTAGTTTCTTTTAACATAAGAAAGTAAATGGTAGATATGTTATTAAATTTTATTTGAGCACATTTTTTCTTTTCAAACTGTAATTAATTCTGTAGGATAATTAAATCTTATTATATTTAATTAACATAAAATGCTTTAATATAATGTTTTGTATTTTTTTATTGTAAAAATTACCAGCAAATTTATTTGAATAATTACCAGTTTTAAATTAAAACATTTTTATAACTAAGTACCATTTAGTAAAAAGTAAAAGCCTTTGTTTTAATTTCGACTTATTTCAGTCTCTATTTTGAAGTAAGCCAAGTGAAAACCAGTGCCCAGAAGTTGCCCAGTGCAAACAGCAGTACGGCTCTAGCTTTACCTTTTCCCCGAATGGCTTAACGCCGCGCGGACCATTACCCACAGCCCCAAACGGCACTGGGCAGCACTAAACAACACTCGACAACAAAACACATACCATGGCGCTGTTTACTGTCATCTCGACGACGTGCAGCGTGTAATTGACGCGTCTGCCGTCATCGTTGAATTTGATGTCCCCGGTTAGGCCCTCGATTTCCACCTGCGGAGGCAAAGAAACCAGGAGATGAATACACACATATAGGGTACAGAGTACAGAGTGAGCCGTAAAACAGGAACATGGGGTGGTTGGGTGCAACACGGGGCGTATGTGTGCTTAATTGCTTTGTCAGTTTGCCCGACTGGCAGGCAGGTGTATCGATGTCGATGATGTCGGCACATTGTGTCCACACTATCGTCGTCGCGAACACGGATGGATCTAAACTCACCTTTCTCAAATAACGCGATATTTTATCGCCATGCTCCCAGGCATTCACCCAGCCCTTGGCCGTGTTGCAGTCCAGTGCTCGCGAGGCCATGCCACCGGATCCGCCGGTATCGCTGCCGGCGAATCCACCGCCACCCGCACCACCGTTTGCGAAGCCACCGCTGGCATTGGCATTGTAGTTGTACCCATCACTGGACGTCGAGGCCGCCGCCTGGGCCACCATCAGCGTCTGGCTGCGCCGCTGCACATTGTTCCGGAACTGGTCCGGCTTCTTGCGCAGGATTTTGTTGAACGCCTCCACCAGGACGAATACGGCGTCGTACATGAGCGCCGCCTGGGCCTGAAGTTTCGGAGAAAAAATAAGGTTTCGATTTAATAACTTTAAAGTTTGCAAGATTTTTAGTTTACATTTATACTGCCAAAAAACAAAAATACCGTAAAGTTTTTTAAAATTATGTAAATATCTGAAATAATTACCTAAAATATGGGCTTCCCATATATATTTTTGGAATAATTATCCTTAAAAATGAGATAAGGTCATATATTACCTTGACTCATTTGGACTACATTTTAGATAATCTTTCCTCAACAGTGGCGGATCTAGGATTTTGTTGTAGGGGGTGATATCAGAACAATCCGTGTGATTTTGGAAAAATAAAATTTTCGCCAATTTTTATTTATTTTATAAGGGGTTACATCATGATTTTTTGCGAAAAATTGACAAAAGTAAAACTCCCAGGTTTGAATGCCAATCGATTGAAAATTCAATAACGAGTTCAGAAAGGTATGACAATCCATATTTGGATAAATACTTCCGTTGTTTCGGTCAAAAAAGAGTTATTTTTTTGTGGAAAATTAAGATCTAGGTTTTGGTTAAAATTTTGATTTTTTTCTTTTTGTTTTTTTGCTGTAACTTGTCCAAAAATGGTCCTACACCAAAAATACAGATAACAAAATAATAAAAAAATCAATGACGCTTTCCGTGTGATCTTGAAAAAATAAAAATTTCGCCAATTTTTCATTTTTTTATAAGGGGTACATCACGTTTTTTTGTGAAAAATGCCCTAAAAATAAAATTTTCAGAAAGGTATGACAATCCATATTTGGATAAATATTTTCGTTGTGTCGGCCAAAAAACTAATTATTTTGTTGACTGTACTCCACTGGAAACCCTAACCAAAAGCATTGATTTGGGAATAATCCTAGAGGATGGTGGATGTTGGTCAATAAAGCCCCCCGTGGATTCGGCACTGGCGAGGAGGTGGCTTAGCTGCCGGCATTTAATGAGTGCATTACACGCTGTTATTCACAATTTTGCCAGCCATTGCCCTCTGGGGCGCAGCTATCTTTCGCCGTATTTAGCCCACCGGAGCAGGTGATGATGCTGATGGGCGTCGAGGGGTTAAGCTAGCCCCAGGCCCGGCGGGAGTTGAGCCACGAAACGTGTCGCACATTAACCCATACAAAAGCAGCGGGAAAAACTTTGATTTAATATTTAACTGCTGGCTGGGCAGCAGTCCTTAAACTGGCCTACTGGCCGGTTGGGCAAACACGGGCTAAGCGAAATAGAATGCCACACAAAGACTTTAATGTGAATTTCCCCCAGAACACACACGCAAGTCAAATAAACAAACAAGCGCTGCCAAAGAGAGCAGCGGTCCAGCTTCTGGACCGGAACGGACCGAATACGAAGGACAGCGGACCAGACCGGACCGGACTGAACCGAACCGGAGAGAACTGTCCTGCAGCTGAATTCAGCCAACGTTTAAGCGCCACAAAGTGAAATCTTTGTCAACAAGGATAATGCCAAGGAAATACAAATATAAACAGCCAGCAAGCGCAAACTAAAGCAACTTGCTGTCGCAAGGCTGTCTCTCTTACACAGGAAGAAATATCCTTGCTCATAGAAAATATTTAGATTTTAAAAGTTATTATATTTAATTATTCCAAATAATTATATTTAAATACTGCAGAAAAAAGAAAATATTTCTAATAAATGCATGATAAATTATATTAAATGTTCTTATTGTCAGTAAAAAATCCGTTTTAATTTATTATTTCTAAATCTTTAAATCTTTAAATCATAAACTTGTTTTTGTTAATGCCTGCTATTTTTAACACACTTTCTCCTCAGTGTATACGTCTAGGTCCCGGTCGCATTGACAAGGACAACGGAGCAGCGGCGACAAGGACACATGTGCCTTTGACTGCAAGTTGTGCGATAGCTATCTGTCTCCTGCCCGCTCGCTAAAAGTGAAATCTGGAATCTGTCGCCGGAATGCGAATAAGAGAACGAGTATTTGACTACACGCAACACAAACAGAAGCACACAAACACAAGTGCAAACACACAGAGCGCTGAGCATCGACAAAGCGCCGCAAACTATGCTACAGTGGCACAGTGCCTCGGTGCCTCTGTGCTTCAGTGTCCTCCCGAGTGTCCTTCCCCTCTCTCCGGATAAACATTAAATCCCCGCAAATATTTAACTGCCAAACTAGTGTGCTGGCCTCGTTCGGCTACTCACCGAAATCGATTCACGGCCAGCGCCCACACTCATCTGGGGGTCCAATCTCTTCCAGCTGTCGTAGAACTCGCGCACCAGCCGCCGGTTCGTGTCCACGATGCGAAAGCCCGTAATGTTAATGGCACCAAATTCGATTATCTCGCTCTCCCAGCGATCGTCCATGACCTGCAATGCAAGACAATCGAATCGAAATTGGGTTGATAAAGGTACAGTGGGCTAAATTGGCTGTAGGATGGTGTATTGTTCAATTGTTTTGAAGGTGTCCTTAAAAAATATTTAAATTTTATTTTTTAATGGATCAAATTTTATTCCAGAAATATTTTTATAAATAAAAAGATATTAAAAACTGTAAAAAAAAGTCAAGTTGATATTTTCTTTATTATTTGTAAACTAAGGTACTAAGAAAAATGTTTTTAAAAATATTTCGTATTTAATTTGTTTGTAAATAATTAATTTTAACTATTTCTTCCACCGTTCCTTAAATTAAACGTTTTTTGTGTTCTGGTTTTGGGTTTGGCTTTGGTTTTCGGGTGCCCAGAACAGCAACACTTACCAAACCACTCAGCAAATAATGGTAGGTGCGTCGGCCGAGTCGCAAATCGCGGACATGCTGGATGAGTATTTGCTTGGCCATTTCCGTGGGGCAGTCCAGAACGATGTGCTTGTTCTCGAAGCGACCGATCTGCTCCAGTGTGTGCAGGAACTCGATGGCCATGCTGACGTTGGAGATGCGCTTGACCAGCTCCACTTGGAAGGACTCGTTGCCGGGGCGCAGGCCCTGGTATATTTGCTGGAGGCGCAGCAGACCTGCGGGGTATCAAGTGTGATCCTGTTAATTAACTGAGTTTCGGGCAAATTTACACACATTCTGGGCCATCCGGCCATATGGCTAGATGGCCAGTTACGGATTCAGATCCAGATACATAGATGCATTAGCAGGGGCACACAAATTACAGCCATCAACAGTTTTGCGAGTCGTTAGCCAGTGCAAAGGAATAGGGCCCCGGGCCCCTGGGCCCCCAATCCCCAGTCCCTTATCAACAACACGAGCATTTGCAATCCACAGGAAGCCCAGGGGCTCAGGGGTTGGAAGGGGTCAGACAAGGGGTAACAACCACCCACCCGACGTGAAATCAAGTTCTCGGCGAAATCTGCTTATGCACAAAGCTTGTCTAAGGTGAATTGAATTAAATTCGGGAATAATCGCCTTATTTTATAGAAACCAATGCTAATAAACTGCTGCTATCAACCGAGTTTATCTCGATTTTCCACAGAATTGTGGGAAGCTTGCAATTAAGGAAGTATTTTTTATAAAGCTTTTAAAATCCATTTTTTTGGTCCTCTTTGACATTTAAACTGTAGAAAAACAGTAAATGGCCAATGAAATCAAATTTTTGGGTAATCTATAAAAAAGGAATGGAAATAAATTTGAAAAAATGCCCTCAATTACCTGGTGATATAAGTACACTTTATCTGGCTTTACAATTCGATTTCTTTGAATTTAATTTCTGAGCTTCTCAAAAAGTGGTTAGAAATCCAATGATAAAAATTGATTTTTATTATTCATGCTTAAATTTGTATTTTTCATTTGATTTGCCACACGTTTCTGGTCATATTTGAGTATTTTCACTCTTTAATTCTGGTTTATTTCTGTTCAGACTTAAATCCTTTCAAATCTGCCTACACAACGCTCCAGTTTTCTTTGTCGCCTGCGCCTTGACATTTGCTTTGTCTAAAAATAGGCCACACACGCCCACCTCCTCATACCCCTCCCACTTCCCCGCACAAACAAAAGCCAAAGGAGCAAAATCAGTTTCAATTTGAAATTTACCGAAAACGGATACAAGGATGCGTACATGCCACTGCGTATCCAGCAGATACCCCTCGATGGGCCCCAGAATTTAGGCCAACTGCGGCATGTTGGCAATGCCAGGGCCCGGGGCAAGGCCAAGTTTTGAGCCACTTGGCAGGCCCATCGTTATCCTTTTGGGGGCCCCCTGTATTCCGGCATTATCCTCCTCGGCCCTCTGCTAGCTCGGATGAATCCTCTCTGCCAGCGCAATTTGCATTTGTGCTTATTGAGTTATGGCTGCAACTAACTGCTTTCATTCGCACTTAAACCGAGCGCAGGGCCCCGAGCTTCAGCTACAGCTACAGCTACAGCCCTTCCTTCTCTACCAAGCCCCTCCCGCAGGACTTCCCTTTCCTTCCCTCGAACTTTACGAGTCAAAACTCAACGATTCAATGCGCCTGGGACAGAGGAATACGTACAAACAGATAGCCCGGGAGACGGACGGACCAGATGATTTGTATTACAGCTACAGCTACGCAGCAAACAAAGGAAGGCGAATGGAAAAATGTGAAGGAGCTGCTGTGGAAAACCAAGGAAAAGCCAGAGATGGAGATGGAAAAATCTCGACTGGCTCTTCTTCTCGGTGGATGTCGCATGAGACATGGCGGTGCAACTCCAATGCGCCTTCAATTTATGTTTGCGGATAAAATGGGATTTGCTTTTTGCTTCTGGCTTCGGATGGATTTTGATTTAGGCATTTGTTGTTGCTGCCACTGCTACTGGAACTGCTACGGGTTGCCACGCCCACTGCTACGCACGGGCGGAGCGTACTCAATACATTTCCAATTTGTTGTTGCTTTGATTTGCACTATGTGCGGCAAGTACATATATTCCAAGAGTTCTAGGGTACTAAGGGGTGATATGGGCTAAACAATTTTGTAATAAGTAAAATTATATTTTAGGAAAAATTACATTTATAAATTTAGTTTTTGTAACAAAAGAATACTTACAACAACGTTTAAGGAAAATAAATAAATATTTTAGATAAACTTTAAATATCTTACTTTTTTATGTTTTATGTTTTTAATTTAAAAAATTCTGCACTATAGATCAATTAAATTAAATGTTGTTAAAAAGAATAAGACTAGCTAAAAAATTTCTTTAAAATTCTGTAAATATTGTGTAATTTTATTTTATTAGTTTTCCGAAATGGCGATTTACATGGTTTTTGAAATGAACTTACTTCGAATTCGAATGTTAAGCCAATAAAAACCTATGAAAACTATTCGAATTTCGTAGTTAGAAACCATTTAAAGTGCTAGAAGTCGACACCCTTTGTGAATGGCATATATCCTTTCGGGGTATCAAATTGCCCTGAATAATACAGAGACTCCCGATGCTATATCTCCCTGTAAGGGTGTGTGTGCGTGTCCGTGTGGCTGAGTGAGCGGCCATTTTTTGTGCGCTCCGCTCGTTGTGCAATAAATTTTCTGCCTTGCCTTTTATACAATTTCATTTGCCGGCACTTCCTCCTCCTAAACTTCCTAACCCTCCTAAACCACCCACTCTATTTCGCTTCCATTCGCTTGGCTTGTGTTTGGATTTGATTTTTGCGCTTTTTTCGATTTGAGATTTGCCGCTCGGATTTAGGGGGTGTGCGTATGCGCGTGTATATTCTGTGTGTGTGAATCGGAAAATCGAAAGTGTAATTGAAGAGCATGCTGTTGCGGCCGAGGATTTTGTTTTATTTCATTTTTGATATCAAAACATTTTTGTGGCTCACCCCGCCGCATATAATTCGAGTTTCCCGAATTTCGATTCTCGATTCCCGATACCCCCGTTTGGCCCATCGACTTTATGCCTCGAAATTGGCATCCCACCCAGAACCCCAATCCCAATCCCAAAACCGAATCCGAATCAGAACACAAGTCCCCATCCGCTTTGGTATCTCTGTGTGTGTTTGAGCATTTCCGTTGATTTTTATTGTTTTATTTCGAGCTGTGGCCGGTGCTCTTTCATTTTCGTTTATGTAACGAATTTAATTCACAATTATATTTGTTGTCTTTTTTTTTTTTTTCCCGTGCTGCCGGGTCAAATTCAATTTGTTTCGAGTAGCAAAGGCGAATTGAAATTGAATTTGAAAAGTGCCAGGAGACGAAGATGGCTGGCCTCGCTGCCACTCAATTTTGGCCACTATCTCTCGCTCCTTCCAGTGGCTATGCAAATCTGTCAGCCACAGAGCCACGCCCAACTTTCACTAGGATGCGAAAAGTAAACAAGACAATTTGTTATGTTAAACAAAAGTTAGTTTTGCGGAAATGAAGTTTTCCTGCCTTCGCCAGCGACACCAGCTCACCACAAACAGATGCAAAGATACACAGAGATATGGATACGGATACGGAGGACATCAGATATCAGATATCGCACACGGCTAACAAGCAAGAAGACATTTGCTGGCATATTTTATGAAGAAAGTTGATGATGAGAAGGGGGAACGGAACAGATAAACAAATGTAATTACTATGGAGAAAGTTGAAAGGGAAAACATTGCCTGCTGTAGGTTGCTATTCATTTCCCGATTGACTGACTGCAAATCCGAATATTCCATAATTTATGCATTAACTGCCCCTAATTAGGATACACAGAGGGGCACCGTGTGCCACGCCCCAATTTAGCAGCTTGTTATGCTTTTTTACTGGTCCGCCTGTTTCGCCTGTTGTGCTATCAAAAACTTTGCCGCTTTAATTACTTACAAACTGCGTCGTCGTCGACGGCCTCGTTCGTTTGGCTACTGTTACTCCCGGGAAAGCTGTGGAAATTATGCTGACAAGCTCAAAGGCTTTGCGCATATGTTTTCAATGGCCTCCAAAGGGGGGGGAGGGGCAGGGAAAACCGTCGGCTGGCAGCATTAAAAGTATCAAATAACATGAAAGTGAAAGCGCAGTAAACCCCATAATGGTTAAATTAATGGCAGTCAGCCGGAACCGGAGGCCGCATCTCCAGTTTTCTGGCCGAAGGACTCGTCGTTGTCGTTGTCTTAACGCAATTTGCGCTGCCATTTGACGCAGTTTATGCAAATTCTTCTGTGATTTAAATTATGTAACACTCTCTATGGCGGCAACAATCAGCGCTCGCTTATTATTCATGATGCCCACTCTATGGCAGATTCGTTTCAGATTTTTATATCCACACAAACCACTCATATCGAACGTTGAATTGCCATGGAAGGATACATATTTGATGGGCCCCAGCCTTTCTCTTTGTCTCGATTTCGATGGGTTTTCGGGGGTTTTTTTTTTTTGGGGCAAAAGACAATCAAGTCTTTCATCTATAAACAGAACCATTTGCATAATTCTGCAGTTTGGGTTTCAGGGGGTCGCATTGATTAGCCGTAGGGTTCATCTTTAATACCTAGGCGGTAGTGTCCTTGGTGTCTTTAATAAACAATACTGGCCGGTTGAGTGAACTGCTGACGTATTCATTGCAGCATGAGCAAGCAGATTTTCACACGTCCTTAAAAGAATCCTGTATGTGCGTCTGTATTTGTCTCTCGGCGTCTGTGTATCTGTGTATCTGCGACTCCTGCGTGGAATGTTTATTCTTTTTTTCTCGCCCTGGCCCCCATAATAAATTTCCTTTCACGGCAAGTCAATGTGCTGTTAACACGGCAATGGGCAGGACCACGCCTACTCCGCGCTTTTTCTTCTTCTTTGCTCCCCAGATTCCTTCTTCATTTTCGGCAGCTGCCAGGACACACATGGCCCACACATATATACACAGCAATATATATACGCACATACGTGTAAGTAAGACATTTTCTTTCATTGCAGACTGTTGACAGATTGTATGCTTTTTCATACAGAAATATCGATGGCAACGTGGCAGACTCATGGGGGTCATGGAAAATTGGGCTGTGGCCTTTATAAAAAGACCAGAGACATAACACTTTACCCACACTCTGCGAAACAAATAAAATTAATGATTTGGTGGGCCAGAAAAAAAGAGAGAAAAAAATACCAAATTAAAGGCGAGATTTTTCGGTTTGTCTCAATGACCTGAGATCCTCGAATCTGGCTGGAAACCGGCTAGCCGAGCATCGCCACCTGTCACTCTGGCCCGTACATGTCATTTGTTCTAGTGTCTCGTACGTGCAAATACTTTGCAATTCATTGGCACCGCCTCTGTCTGTGGGAAATTTGCTTATACGGCTCATTTGACGTGGCTGGCGTCGATGACTGGAAGCGGGACAGCTGCTCGGAGCAGTTAGCATGTCAAGCGGATGGCCCGCCGAGCTGCCGAGCTTTCGAGTTGCCAGGTTGCCCCATATGGAATGAAGTTATTTCAGCTCCGTTTGTGTGCTCCTCTTGCCATTTCAATCGTGCAAGTGGAAAGTGATAGGATTGTATGTTCTTTGGGGATGGTACACGCAGATACTTTCTATGAAGGGCTTCCTTGAAATGTTTTTTTTGAAATGCCAGCTTGAAAACAAATACAATCAAAGACCTTGACTGGCTATGATTATATTTATAAAATACTTGTTTACCAATTCTTTATATTGAGCATACATTTTGTTGAGCTTTTTGAGTTCCAATTGTCAAAAGATTACCAAGGTATTTAATTTAATCTGTATTTTAATCAAATCCATTATTTATTTGTATATTTTTTTAACTTTTTAATATTTTAAAAAAAAAAAACTAAAAACATAAGACCTTTATTCTGGTAATCCTCGGCTTAATCTAAACTCCGAAGCTAACTAAACCAGCTATCAAAATAATCCCAAATAATTGCCAGAATTATGTACAAAATACCTGCAATGTGATTTGCTAAACTCTTCAATTAAAGACTTAAAGGCTAAGTCTTTATAAAGGCTCGAAGAATTAGTACAGCCTAAACAGCGAATCTCGTGCGCGTTTTTCTTTGATGACCTGTAGATGGCCCGCCCGCTTTTCTTGTCTGGATCTAGAAAATCCAATAGCCGCAGGCGGCACAAGTGTTTTTTAGTGAACAATCTCACACACTCGCGCACATAGACTGCGTAAATATATAATGTAGCATAGCCGCCGGCCTGGCACGTATCGGAATTTTCGGGCAACTCGACGAGCGGCGGGCAAATACAATAATTTCACAGCTAAAAGAAAAATGTGTGTAAGCCAATTTCTCGGCCAAGTCGTAAATACAAGCGAGAATAAACTTATAAGCCGCTGGCCCACTTCGCATGAATTAGATTCCGGCGGCGAGTGGGGAAAAATCCCATAACGAAATATTGTTTGTGTTTGCATCGATGGTTGTTTCTGTTGTGATTGTTCTACACGCCACTCGAAAAATCGTATCTGAAGCCGGCCATTGCCCATAAATAGTTCTTTTTTTGGCCCAATTTTGTTTTGCTTTTTTTTTCTCCTTTTTGGGATGGCAAGGCGCAAAATGTTTTTCCTATTTCTTTGTAATAAACTCGTTGGCGCTTGGAATAAACAAAAGAGGAAGCCGTTCCAGGACACAACAGTTGCCTGGCCAAAAACAAAGGCCGTTAAGAGGCGTAGGCGCTACGTGCCAGAAGTTGCCATGTAAACATGGCCATAAACCAAGTAGCCGAAAAGGAGAATTCATGAAAAATGAAAAATTGCCGGGCAATTTTGTCTACCCCGTATCTATTAATTGGCCATATCTCTGGCTCTCTCTGGTCTTAAAGTCATATGCAGGCAATCAGAATTTATTAAGCTGCTAACAAGAAGCCACAAAATTGATTGAGTGCCACTAAGCATTTGGCACGGCTTAGAACAGCCGATGAAATACAAGTGAAAGCGGGATGAAAATGAAGAGAGATTAGCAAACACAGACAGGCGAGGATGAGGCTTATGAACTGGCTCGAATTGATTGAGTGCTGTTGGCCACCGCAAAAGATTTTCACGTGGCATTCATTAATAATAATAATGCAGGAGCCAGACACTGGCATCCGTCCATCCGTCCCTCGGTGGCCACATAAACCAATTGTCCGACTGCCAATGGCGCAAAATGTCAGCGAGCAAAAGGGGAAATGGAGAGGGGAGTCAATGCAGACGGCTGTGTCATTAAACTTTATTTATGCACTGGGTAAATGGAAAATGCTTGCAGAAACTTATAACAAAGCAAATTTACGCTGGAGTAAAAAAGGGGAAAATAGTTTCACTTGCAGAAAACTACAGAATAATTGCAATTTTTTTCTTTTATTTAAGAAAACTTGCAAAGCAATTATAGACAATACAAATTTGTTCTAAATTAAAAAAATATTTTTTTAATGCAGGAAGAGAAAAAGATAATTTTGTATAGTTTTTAAAATATACAATAAACCTTCTTTAAGGTTAAAAATAATTGGGAAATAGAAGCCACCCATTTGGTGATTTAAGAGAGAACTAAATTTTATAATATTTAAAAAAACAATAAACTATTTCTTCAAGTGTTTTATATTCAGACCCTTTCCGACTACATAGTTTGCATAGATGAGGTTGCGGGAAGCGAAAGCGGAAAAATGCTTATTGACTCGGTCTGCTTTCTCTCCTTTCGAATCCGCTTCCTCATTCTACATGTATTAGTATGCATGCTGGTTTCGTACTCACCATCGTGGGAATCGTAGAGATAAATTATTTTGCGCCAGCCATAAAATTGTATTGTATCAATGATGGCCTGATGATAATCCGGGCGCATGCTGAGGGCAAAGTCGAGGAAGCCAGACGATGGCGTAAGCACCTAAAACGCGAAAATTATGGAAAGCAGCCGCAAATCGAGGCGGCAGAAAGAGAAAGGACATGGCGAGTTAGTAAACATGAATCATTATTGAGTGCTCATTGTTGTTGGAGCCTCTTTTGGGCTCGTTTCGGGCATTTGCCGGGTTGATTTATAGGACGCTCGGCCTAAACGAGGCCAAAAGTGTGTTATAAATTTTTAAAGCGCACGCACACGACACAACTGGTGGGGCAGGCAGGACATCATTAGAAACAAGTGGCCAGGTTGCCCGGCCGGGTCCCAGCTCACTAGTATTTATAATGATTTGTACCTGGGCGGCTCATAAATATTTGCCACTGGCCCAGCTGTGTCCGGAGTGCTTTTTGGGTGGGCTTTGGCTATGGCTGCGTTCTCGGCTTTTCAAGGTTACCAATTTATATTGCGAGCCAACAGTGCGTATGATTAATATTTCATATTTAAATAGGCAAACGACCTTGGCACTCGCTCGGCCTCGCTTTAATATTTATTAATGTCTTAATGGGCTCACCTTCTCGGGGAACCAGGGCGTCACGAAGGGCATCTGGAAGGTGTTTGAGTAGGAGTGCAGTGTATCGAAGGAGTCGGGCGAAACGGCCCCCAGCATCGAGTATACGCCCCTTGAGAACTGGTTGCAAACTGCAGAAAGCGAATGGGAAAAGCACATAAAAATATGAGTTTTTTGAATATTGATTTAAAATTAAGTATGTCCTACTTTATATTTTAAGCTTGGATTCATACTTTAACTAATTTTAATTTTATTGATTTAACTGGTTTAATGATTTGCTATATTCTGATTTAAACTTTAAAATATATTGCAAGTATAGATTAATTATATTTTAATAGACATTTTTTCGAAACGACAACGCAACCAGTTGGATGAGCAATTTTAATGATTTTTCCTCTGAGTGGAGGGCACAAATTCAAATGATAAATGAAAATGGAAAAATAACAAAATAAAATGAAAGACTGGCTAAAAATGCGCATAATTAATACATTTTCAGCGTAACGAGATATCTTGTGGTGTATTTACATTTTATATTGTCTGCGGGAACGACGAAATATTTATGGATGTCAACTGCATCTCATGAATTCAATTCAGAGGAGAATCAAAATTCAATGGCTCAGATAATTATCGCCTAACGAGAGTTTTGTGTTCGCATTTTGCCCAATTGAATTATTGAATCGAGTTCCCACCCTCCCAAGATACTCACTCAGTCGGGACAATTTGAAGGCATCCGCCGTGTTGATCACATCCACGTAGGCCTGCAGCTCGAAGCGGCGGGATGAGACGTTAAGGTTGTGATTGAGCATCGCGTACTTGAAGGCCGACTGCACCTCGTCGGTTCCCTGCTCGAAGATGGCACCTGTTTGGGTTTCGGTTCCAGGTGAGAGGTAGAAGGCGGCAGCAGCAGCATGCAAAGATGTGTAAAAGTGCTGTTAGTGCTCGGCTCGGGGAAAAGTTTCGGTTTTTCGGGGAAGCTGCTCCATCGAAATTGTCAATTAAGTTCAAAGCAAAGGCACTTTAAACTTTGTAATTGCTTTTGCTCTCGAATTTTATTTGTGTTGTTGCTCTTGTAATTTTTTTCTTCTCTCTTTATTTTTATTTTTGGGAAAAAACTTTGTTGCTGCCATTCTGGGCTGCTGTTTTGTTGTTATTGTTGTGGTGGGCAATTTGAGCCAATTTTTAAGTGGCGTTTGCAGCAAGCTAATAAACGTGGCGTTTCAGTTTTCAAAGTGGCCAAGGAAAAATTGGGGAATAAAACGAAACTGACTCTTGGCAAACTTCAGTCGGCAGATGATTCCCAAAGGAAAAATAGCAAGAAACTTAAAACATTATTGATTTAAGAAGGTTTATATTGTTTAAAAATATGAAAGTGTTAATTCTTATTAGAGTTTTCATACAAATAATCCTAATTAATTTTATAGAAACATTTTTGCTCAAAGATGTATTTCCTTTTAGACTTTGGATTAAATATTTTTACTTCCTAGCTATTTATTTTCATAACTGAATTCCGCTTAACGTAATAAGATAAACAAACATATTTACGGAAAACACTTAAAGGGTTTATAAGCAAAATGTTCTTGAATCAATATTTTCAGTCTTGAAAGGTGGGTTTTCCGAATGCTTGAGAGAATGGGAATTTCGGGGGCGTTCCTTACATTTTCCAGCCAGCTGAGGCGTGTGCATCTGAGCGGTTATAAAATAAAAGTAAGTGCCAGGACAAAACCAGGACACGGATGGCAGGAGGAGGAGGATTGAGGGGCAGGAGGGAGGCTGCAGCTCGAGTCGCTGTCAGATGCATTGGGCTTACGGTTACGGTTACTCACCTAATGGGATTTTCTCGGTTAATGATGGCTGTGCGCTGACTCCCCCGTCGCCGCCACTGCTCCATGTTAGCCATAATAAAAAGCTTGGCCAAAGGCAGCTCAACTTTAAGCCAAAGCGCATTTTGCAGCCCGTTGATACTGCTGCTGATGCTGCCTTCGCTGCCTTTGCTGCCCTGTTGTTATTGCTATATCCTTGCTATTCCTGCGGAACAGGACTCCTCTTGTTGTTGCTGTTAATTCCGCTTTTCCGCTTATTTTCTGCAGCTGTAGTTGTAGTTGTAGATGTATTTGTTGCTGTGGAGTTCGCTTGTCGTCGCTGGCATTGCGAGCATTTTGCCGCACTTAGCGCAGCATTTGCATAATTTGTGCTGCCTGCATTTGTATTTTCGGGTCAGCGATGGGTTGGGCGGCATTAAAGTATGTTAAATATATATCAGAAGATTTTCGGGAGATTTCGTTTTAGGTTATCATGCAAATTGCGTCCGTGTAAGTCGCTTAAATTTTCGGCTTTGTGTGCTTAATTAAACGTTTCCTGCTTATTGGGGCAAATTAGAGTGTGTTTTTTAAGACCACCCTTTTGAACCACCCCCCAAGCTATTCACTTTGGCACGCGTTGGCCTGCACGTGTCTCTGGCACCTGGAAAGCTGGCAACTGCACTGCGAAAAATAAATCGTAGGTACGTCAGTCAAATAAGAATTTTGTTGAATAAAAATAAAATAAATTTAAAAATTAAAGTTTAAATTTAATTAACAATGAAAACATGAAAGGAACAACTTTAAACTCTTGGTAAGACAACAAATTTATTTTATTATTTTATCGTTAATTTATTTTTGTGATGTAAAAAAAAAACTGTTTTAATCAAATTTTTAATAAAATTGATTTATCTTTAAATTTTGGATTAAGACTTTACTTCTTGAAAAATTATGTGACAACAAATCTATCGTTAATCCTCTGAATCCTTTAATATTAAATCTTTGAAAAATAACTTAAAAATACTAGAAATTCTAAAAAATGAGCATTTTAACACCAACTTAAAAAAAACATTTAGAAACTATATTTCACAAACCTTTGAGATAAAAGTATGTTTGCCAAGGCTGATAAGTCATTCAAAAATTTAAGATTTATTTGTATAGATTTATATTTTAGCTATCTTGATTTGATTACTAATTTTGAAAGTATTTTCTTGCTCTGTAGCAACAGGTAAACTGGCAACTGCCACCTGGCACAATGGCAGCCGACTTGGCAACTGTCGCGTTCCATTCACTTTCCGCTGAGGCTCGCATTTGTGCGAGTGTGTGTGCGAGTGTGAGTGGGTGCGAGTGTGTGTGCCCAGTGAACTGTATGCAAATATGTACACCTGGTCTATATGCAGGTGTGCGGTGTGTGAGTGTGGGTGTGGGTGGGGGAGTATCTCCTCCTGCGACTGCTCTTGCTATTGCTCCTGCTGTTGTTTTTGTGCGTTGTCAGTGTGTCACTGTGCCAGCAGCTTGTGCAGTTATTGTTGCCCCTGCCACCCATCAGCCCTCCCTGCCACGCCTTCCTCGCCCACCGCCCCCTGGGCGCATATCCCCCAGTCGTTATCCTTTCGGTTCGCTGACTGTTTTTGTGCTGATTTTGCGCTTATTTTAAATGTCTTTTATGCATGTTGTTTTTGGTGCGCTCCCCTTGGCTGCTTTATTTTTGTTTACGTTTTTGTTTTATGCCTTTTATTGTTAATTATTTAAAATTGCAGAGCTCAGGCTGACTGAGTGACTGCCCGCTTGGCTGTGTGACTCTGGCTGTCGGTCTGTGGGTCCTCTCGAAAATGTCTGTTTTCCATATCCCTTTGGCCTTTTTACCCTGTTTTCCCTGTTTTCCCGCCCCACATTCGAGCCACCCGAAACGCACGGTTATTGGAATTTTATTTTTGGATCGCCGTTTTACATATATGTGGAGCATTTTTTTTACGTTTCACGTTTGCATTCCCCCCGGCTTTAATAATGGTTTAATTTTTGAAATTGTTTTTAAATCGGCTTATTTGAGGTATGCCGCACACAGTTGGCCCATCTGTGTGCGTTTCGTTCTCGTTAGCTCTTGAACATTTTCGGGCTTCATGTATTTTTCAAGGATAAATATTCATAACTTGGGCATTGCCTATCTGATTTTATTCAGGGGAAATCGATTTAAGTTGTTGTTTACTATTTGTGTAAACGATGTATGCACAGATTTTATCTTCACGAGATAGCAAAATAGTATGCAGAGCAAGGCAAATATTGGAGTTCAGATAAACTTTGAAAGTTATTACCGAATTATTTTCCTTTTTCCCCTTTATTTTTAAAAGAAAATGCTAATTAAAATTTAGCAAGGCTAAGTAAGTTATCGGTAAATGTAAAAGGGTAATAGAAAATCCCCAGCCAGAGTTCATTCCCCCGCACTTGAAATTCTCCAGCCTTTGAAGTTTGTTTTGCTGCCTAACCACTCTGTAATCATATCAGTTACAGTAACTAATCCCCCGGGCGAAAGCGGGAAAAAGAGAACCCTTTCCCAGCGACTGGGCCCATTCATTCATTAGGCAAACATTGACCGAAGCAATCTACATAAAACCACTTGAGTGAAAAGTTGCAGTCGGTAGTCTATTTTAGCCGGGCCCATAAAAACCAGAGTCCAGAGTCCCGGAGGTTCGTGGTTCAAGCACCGGCGACAAAGGGGATTATTTAGCGCATTTAGAAAATAGGTTAACAGACGCTTAGTATTCATATAGCCTGGAAGCCTCGAAGGCACTGGCACTCGCAACTTTATTCGTTATAACGACGATGGCAAAACTAACGCAAAGTGCGACGAGAGCTGCGACTCGGCCGGTTTCCATTAAACGAATGATCCCACTTAATTAAATTTAAATTAGGAGCCTAAAGTTGAACGTCACGGACGTTTAAGTGGCAGCGAGTTGAGTCGGCCGACGAAGGGGGGTCGCAAACAAAAAGGGCGTCTTGGAGCACAGGCGGACCCAGATAAGTGAAACGAATGAATGGACATTTAGGGCAAAAGGAGCTGCTGCTGCACTGCTGTCCTGCCGAGGCACTTCCGTTAATTAAATAATTATTTTGTAGCCACTGGCTGATTACTTTTTGCCCGACTCTCGCCTCTATTCATTCGCAACTTAACACGTTGCTCTCGGGTTTTGAGAAACTGAAAATAATACTGAATCCGGGACTGACCTTTGCCGGTGCCCCAGTAATTTACAGCCAGATGATAGGCATCGTCCAGAGTCGAGACCTTCAAAATTTGCCTTTCAAAAGGCATAACGAGCGCCCCCACAAATGTTTTCCTTTTCCCTCGACGACGGGCACGTGCCAGCGACCGTGGATGGAAAACAAAACGCGATGGCAGGTATTTAGCGGAGCCGGCGAGATAAAAATGTAACAGGAAAATTATTAGGCCGCAGATAAAATCCATAATATAAGGCAGCTCATTTGCATTTCAATGAGGTGATTAGTATGCCAATGTCATGCCGAAAAAGCAAAGGCAGCCATCACAGCCAATATCTGCATTTTCAATTTGCTATCATTTCTAATATATCTGCCTTTATGTTCTGTGTGCCAAAAATATATCTTTATACCTGACTCACTTTAATGTCTTTATGGCAAAAATACATCCCCTGTAATTAGCTTAAGTCCCGCAGAAATTTGAGCAGCGCGTGGCACTCGAAGACAAGTGCTTCGATAATTGATAATTTATTTTTCTGCCCCAGAGTCTGATTCTGATTCTGACAACTTCCCATGCCAACGAGGTCCAAAGTCACAAATAATGAGCACAAATTTCGCTGTTTATATTAATGCTCGTCAATACCCAAAGGTCGGGGAACTGGCAGTCAGTCACTAAGTCATTCCCTCAGTCATTCCCTCAGTCATTCCCTCACTCAGTCAGTCAGTCAATGGGGCCTCGACAAATTTGGCAACTTACAAAAAAGAGGGCCGAGCATTTGTCGCTGTTCATTTGCGGCTTACAATTCCTTCCAGTCCTTGAGATTTATTTTTCCTTTTTTTCTTGCTTTTTCTGGTTTTTTGTCGGTGGCTTGTAAGTTGTTTGGTCACACACAGCACACTTAAATTGCGGCTTTTCTTGCTTAGCTTTTTCTTTTCGGGGCGAAACTTGAGGAATATTTGGGAATTGGCTCTTAAGCGACTTTTACATTTGCATAAGCTGGCACACAATTTTAAAAATGATTGCCGCTACTTTATTATCACTTAATGCGCGCGACTCCCGTCCGTTTATATTTTTGCCTTTCTTTTTCTATTTTCTTTTTTTGCCCTGCGGTTTCTTTTACCACTCGACTCGAATTCGGTTTTTTGGGCCCGATCCGCTCTGGAGTTCGTATGGGTTTTTCTTGCGATTTTCCGATTTCCCTAGACCGCTAGAGGGCCAGCATCCTTGTGACTTTCCGCCGTAATCGTCCTGTTTGACGCGCGCACGACTGAGTACTGAGTTGGATGCTGAGCAGGTGTGGTTGGGCATCGAAATCCGGCCGGGCGACAAAGCTACAAAAATCCAGCCCTCTCTCTGGCTCGGAAAACATTCGGAAAGCCTCGGAAAACTCGGAGGCTGTGCTCAGTGTACTAAAAAGGGCGGCTGCGAGAGGGATTTTCCGGCTGAGAGAGCGGGCGCACACGCACTTGTCTGCAAAGCGACCAAAAGGCGAGAGAATCCGCCTGCAGACGCGTGTTTCTGGCAGTGTTACTGACCTAGTAACCGTTTTTTTCCCTTCTGCCGCCTTTCAAGTTTACTCTTTGCCAGAACAACAGCAGCAATAACAACTGGAGTACATCTTGTCGTTCTCTGGTCGGTTGCCCTTTTTATTGCCCGCTCGTGAGTGCAGCACAATCCGCAATTGTTGCTGTTGCTGCTGGCATTTGGTTAGTTGTTAAGCCAAAGCCGAGTGTTAGCCGGAATCCATTGCAAGAACTGAGAGCTGAGGAGCCGAAATCAATTAAAGCGCTTAAAGTAAACCCCTGGCAATTGCCAGCAGATTTATTCACACAAAATAAACTTATTTATGTGCGTTTCGATAGTTTGGAAAAGTTTACAATTTACAGAAGACTTATTTTAAAAGTCTAGCAAAATGATGAACAAGAAAAAACTTTTGGTGGAGTATTCTTATAATCTTAATAAATATAAAGGCATTTAAAATTAATAACAAATTATTACAAATAACATCACAAATTGTAAAATAAGTAAAAAAAAGAAAAAGCTATTTTTTATTTTTTACATTTATTTTATTACAAAGATATTATAAAATCGAATGGACTGATTTCTATAAATACATTAACAAATTTTTAATTCACACAAATTTTGTATATGATTACAAAAAGTAAAAATGACCCTGTAAAAAATTCCATTTTAATGGGAACAGATAATGTGGTACCTCCGTTGCTGATTATCTTTCCCTCGATCCATTTCACACTCGCATATACATCGACATAAACAGAAGGCCAGTCGCCTTTGCCGCACCCCATGAGAAGACTCACGATCCCGTAGACCACATCGTCGTGCATCAAAGGAGCTCCCAGGTCCCCAATACACGGATTCTGGTGCGTAAAAGGATCAGGGTCTATGGCGCACAAGAAGTCAATTTCCTTGACGTTCAGCTGTTTGTCACACTCTTTGGCTGATATCAAGGTCACGTCTATATAAAGCAATTTCGCGGTTCTCGGTCCACCCTAAAGGAAAATATTAATTTATTTTATCATCAATACGATAAAATACTTTCGATTTTAACTTACATCAAACATTTGTCCCCAGCCCCCGACAAGACATTTGAGACCCGCTTTCGGAGGTATAACGGGTAATTTAGCCAGAGAAATATGTTTATCAGACCTCGGAAGTGGCTTCGTTAGTTTTAGTAGTGCCATTTTTTGCTTATTGTAAATTGTAAAGTTATCAGGCAATATTATCTTGTCTACAGGAGCTAAAAAACTCCTGCCTGGAATATATTTAAACCTATTGACAGATCCGGCAACAACGACCAGATTTCGACTGTCGTACACAACCCTCCGATCGCTTGATAGTTAATTAGGGATCAGTAGTTTCTAATGAAAACTATGCACTTACTTACTCAATCAGGCAATGTGCTGAGGTCAAAGCAAACAATGGCGTCAGGATAACCCCGGAGCAGAAATGATTGTCCCCAAAATACACGCTGGCACTTCTTGTCCTTACAGACACAACATATTTCGATAGTCGGAGAGCTTCATCATTGAATTTGCCATAGGACAGGCGCCTAACACGCTTAAGGGATGTGGAAGACGATTTCTTTGAAGGATCTGCATATACGAGTATCAAATATAAATGTAGTAAAACCAAAAAGTGTTGACTATTCATGACAGCTTTTGCTAGTGTTATTACAAAACTATTTCAAGTAACGAATAAAATATCTAAGACCAAAACTTCAAGTCATTAAAGAGCACTTCAGGCCATTAAGAACAAACCTCTGAAATGTTATATATGTATTTCGCTTCCACTGTGAACAGAAGGTCCGCTTAACTGGGCTGAATTTAGAGTGCCTCTGGAATTGGCTGCAACAAAATTGGAGGGATTACGTAAGCGGCAGCCGAACAAACCGTTTTACATGGCAATTATGCAGGAACAAGCCTGACCCCTGACCCTTGCCCAATACTGTGTAGAACTAGACCCATTTCAGCAGTCAATTCAAGGATGAAGCTATCGTCCTGCAGGAGCAACATGTGTGTGCACGCGCCGCTGCTCATTGGAAATTCAATTTTCAATAAATGCACACAAATTGATTTCCAGCTCGGGGCCTTCGAGCGGAGTTACGAAACACAATCGGAGGCACACACACACATATAGCTGGGTGTAGACCCACACCCATTCGTATTCGCACACGCACACTCTCACCTGCATTAAGTGTAAAACTTTTCAATTTACGTTCTGTTGTTTTTCGAGCATCAAATATCCCCGGCTGTCAAAAGTATTTGTCGAGAGATTTTCGGCTCCACTAGGGATGGGTTCCGATCCATTTCGATTTGATCGCCGGTTCCCTTTTATCTCCGGGCTCGTTATTAGACTTTTTTTTTTGAGTTCGCCACTTAAAGCAATTCCCCTACCCAATCCCGTATTCAGTATGCCTTGTGCACACCTCCATTTCCCGTTTCCCGTATACCGTATATACCGTATTCCATATGCCACACGTATGCTCGCTTATCCGCGCCTGAAATTCCGCATCATGCAGCGCAAACACTTGTTAATTACTTTTATTATATCCACAGCTTCACTTGCACAGTCACGCAATTCATCGGCTGGGAATCTGGCGATCCTGGTGCCGGAGTATAAGTAGGGGTGATGGTGCCGGGTCCTGTGTTCTGGGGTTCCCATTTCCCGGACAAGTGCCGCATTATTGCCTGTTGCTTTCGCCAGTGGCACTGCCTCACCACAGCTGATGTGGTCGGCCGTAAACAAGCGGCAGCGAATGAGTGGGCGTGGAGTCCTGGCGTCCTGGCGTCCTGGAGTCCATACTCCATACTCCATTCGCCACTCGACAGTAACGGGTCGTCGTCACACACAAGTAATTGCAATCAGCACCTTGGCAACAAGCAGCTGCGCCAAAATACGACTGAAAGTAAAAAAGAACTGGGCCACGAACGTATTTATTTATAAAGCAACCCGTAACTCACGGTGCGTGCTGCCGTATATCTTAACACCTGAATGCCAAGCGAACGCGTGCAACTCAAGAGCTCAGGCGAGTGGATTTAAATTTATTGGTAAGTAATGAGATTTCATTCTTATTGCCATTTGATTTAAGGCGCACTCTTGATCTCTCTTTGCAGGCCTTCTAGTGTTGAATGGTCATCTGCCGGCAATTTATATGCTAATTATAAATTCTTAATTGTAATTTCTTGGGCACACGGAAAATACCGGGGATACAGATGTTTATTATACTGATTCTCATTAACAATTAAAGTTCGTAAAATATGTATAATATTTTGTATATATTAAAGTTATCATTATAAAAGGATTTAAAATCGAGTTTTATTTTTAAAGTGAAATAAATTATTTAAAGACATTTAATTTTTAATGCCGCTGATGCTATAGCCATTTTTTTTTATTACCAATCATTTTGACCAGCCTTACAAAAGCTCCTAATTTATTGGTCGGACAAGCATTGCCAGCACAATGGGGCGTATGCTTTGTGTTCGCATACCCCTGGGTAACCACGCGACGTATACGCAATGCCAGCTAAGCCAATTTTCAGCGGAACGAGTGCCGCAATTATGCGGCCTTATTCCATGTGGAAATTAACGCGAATTGCCAGCCATGATTGGCATTGTTTTCGTCGCGTGTCGCGAGTGTCAAGCGTGCCGCAAATCAATTGAAATCAAATGTGCAACAATAAAGAGCGGCGCAGGTCAGGTCAGAGCGTCGAGTTTCGTATCGATTGGCTGTCACTTGAGATGCGGCCGTGTCAGCCCGGAGTGGTAATAATTTAGCAACTAATTAAGCGACGGAAATGGGGAGGCATGATACACAGACACAGAAAGCGCACGGATGCAGACAGACATGGACAGAGATTTTTCCCCACCCCTCACACATAGATACAAAAGCCATGAATCCAATCCAAAATGGCGAGCACACACACTCACACAGAGATAGCTTTTCCAATTAAATTTATAACTTATTTATGATGGCAAGTAATCTTCTTTGGGCATTAGGAGATGTAATAAAAATGATTGAAATATAATTGAGAATTGACATAAAAGCCAAACAAACACACAATCATCCCACACCATAGCACACCACACACACATCTAGCTTATAAAATCCTGTCGGCTGCCTTGGCAGGCACTTACAATCAACGATTACCTTTACACCTGCCATTGTGAAAATAAGCCATAAGCGGAAATTACATCAAAAGGATATTGTTATATCGATGAGCAGCCATCGAGGAGCAGGCGTCACAGCTGTAGCCGAAAAGCAGCCAAATAGCACAAAAATAAAGTATGGCAAAAGGTGCCATAAAATAAATAACACGAGGAACCAAATAAACATTTTGGCAACGGGATTCAGGACTCGAGACTCTCTACTCTCCACTCCAGGATCCAGAACGAATCCAAAAACTTCCATGTGCCATGTGTGCCGGGTTGTGTGTTTTGTGGGGCGGATGTTTGGCATAAAATAGACTTATCCTAATGAAAAAAGTCTCGCAGGCACGTTAAGTAAGATATGTGATACCAGGAGGCGAAGTGGGTGAGGGCTCAGATGAAAACTGGAGCCCGAAGGCAATCTTTAAGGCGTCGAAACGTTAAAAGTTAGGCCTGGCAATAGTGAAAGCTAAGCGGCTTATGGCCCAGCAACATTGGCAACAAGGACATTCGAGAATAAGGTAGCACAAGGCCTCTTAAAGATTGCCAATGGGCAGATGGAGATGAAGCCGGAGATTCGCCGACTCATTTGCCTAGTTTGCGATACGATAAGAATTTAAATTGAAATAGTTTTTACGCCAGACACGGCAGACACTGAGATGACGACACGACACGAAATTCGTGTGTTCCTATTCCTATCCCGACTAATTTTGTAATTTATGCGGGACCCACAATTTACATAGGCAAATGAATGCCGGCGGAACGTGAACACATCCCTCGGGGGGCTTTTAGTTGTATTAACTTATGTTGATGGCCAGAGATGGCTTCAAACAGGTAAGTATCAGCATCGCTCGCATATTTTCGTTCGCCAAGAAGGCATAAAGAATTCACATCCACGCTGCTGCTGCTGCATTCCTTATTTGGGTCAATTGGAGAGCATCGGAACTTTATAGCCGGCTCTGCCCATTTTGCGCCTCAAAAGACCACTTGAAACCTCAAGGACCCAAGGACTCGCGAACCACTCGCTTCATTTTGTCAGCCCTTTGTCTTAGCCTGCGGTGAAATGTTTGCGCCGGGCATTGTCATCTGCAGGACGGGCAAAAGCCAAAGGAGTCAAGTGTTCATTATGCTCGAGGACGCCGCTCTCCGCTGGCCACTTGAGCAGTGTGAAAAAGTGGAAGCCATAGGACTCCGTGCACTTGAAAAAATAATTACGAACTCGTCCTTGAACTTGGTAGATTTTATTTGACTTTGGTATTCATTAAGAGTGGAAGGGGTATTTCAGGAAATTTATCTTATCAGGCTAAAAGCTGTCGTTGCTTATATTTCCTGTAATTCTATAGGAGAGTCTATTTTGTAATACAAATATTTTCTGTAAGAAAGGAAGGTCGTCAATAAATGGTTATTTAATAATAAATGATAAAAGATTTTGAAAAAGAACCTAACTTAAATAATAATATAAATAATAATATAAATAGGTTGATTTTTAATATTATAATTGAAAGAATGATTTTTATTAAGTCCTTTTCTTATGGAAAATATTTCTTATTTCTTAAAAGTTCCTATTTAATTTCAAGAAAAGCTTTCTTTTCAAGGCCTTGCACTCTCTGTCCTATTTGCTCTTTCTGTACCTTTTTTTCCGAGTGCTCCAGAGGCTGACAGCCTTTTCCCAGATAAAACGGGTAAATAGAAAGGCTGCAGATGCCGCAGCTGCTGTTGCAGTCGCATTCCGTGGTTATTGTTGTGGCTGCTGGTGGCGGCGGTCCTCGAATTCTAAAGTGGCCGGGAAGTTGCGACGTCTGCAGATTGTCTGTTTGATTATTTGAGTAGAATTTAATTAGCAATCGTGGGCGGTGGTGAATTTAATGCATAAATCAAATGACACTGGGCATGGTATTTTTTTTTATTTTTTGGGGAGCTTCAGCCAAAAGGAAGCGCCGGCAGGCAGGGCGGCGACCTAATTGCCAAATGACCTGCATTCGGGCTCAAGATACAAGGCGCAAGTGGCTGGCCGGACTCGGGAAACAAGCGGAAGAGGCGGCTGAAAGGCAAAAAACAAACAAACAGGAGGTAACTTTGTCGTTATTACCTTTTATTAACTGAGAAGCTCGGGGTTTGATGGGTTCCCAAGGGGTCGCGATGCCAAAACCCCGCGAAGATGTTCGCTTAAAGTGGTCGGGGAATATTTAAAGAATTATATTTTTGCTGCGGAGCCCAGCACTCCATTGTCTTTGTTATTCCTCGCTGAAGGGTATTCCCGACTTCGTTGCCCGGCCTGCTCTGCTCCACCTTTTCATTTCTTGTTTCAGTGCCTCTGGCTCGCGGCATGTTTTTCATTTTCCTTTTCAATTACCCCGCCGCGACGTTCAGTTGGCGCATTTCTCATATATTTTTTTCGGTCTGGTCCCGGGATTGTTTGTCTAAAAGGCAGGAGCGGCGGGAGGGGCGAGATCCTGGATCCAGGATCCGCTGCTCC